AACGTCTTGGATATTCTTCCTTGTCGGATAGTGCTACCTTCTTTTTCGTGGCTTCATAGTATTCCGGCAGGAGCCCGCACTATAATTTATTTAGCATCTCTTCTACTGGTGACATTCAGATTGTCTACAATTTTTCACCATAATCAGCAATGAAAAATCCTTGAACGTGTGTTCTTGAGCATATACGTGAGTTCTACATGATGATATATTCAGGTAAGTGGATTTTCCAGCTTCACTTCATGGGCAGACTGGCGTCTAGTCACTGACTAGAGACAGTTCGATATTTGAAATGAGTCACTTGCCCACGTAGGCAGAACAAATGCTCAGAAGAGCATTGTTTCCTCCTTGAATCCAGATTTTCGGAACCGGGCAGGCTAATGCTCCAAAAGGCTCATACTCAGATCACGCCAGACCATTTACAAGGCACTTTGTCGCATTCTGGTTTGCCTGATCCTCGCATTGATCCTTCAAGGTAGGTGCGATGAGCATTACTGTCTGACAGATGAGGAAACAGGCTCAGAGAGGAGGAGGCACCTGCCCAAGGTCACGCAGCTCTTAAGTGGCAGAGGACTCAGAAACCCAGACAGATTTGATGAAATCCTGCCTCATTTCTAAATCCACAGTACACGGTGCCGCTTATGGGAAGGGCTTGATGGTGGTCAGTGAGCTGAAAAGGCAGGAGAAATAAATATCTTCTTACCTGGCTGAGTTGGCAGGACATGTCAGTTTCCTATTGCTGCCGTAACAAATTGCCACAAACTTCATGGCTTAGGACAACACACATCTATCATCTTGCAGTTCTGGAGCTCAGAAGTCCAGAACTGATCTCACTAGGCTCAGATGAAGGTGTCAGCAGAGCGTGCACCTGCCTTCTGGGGGGTCTAAGGGAGGATCTATTCCTGACCTTTTCCAGCTTCTAGAAGCTGCCCACAGCCCTTGGTTTGTGGCTGCCTCCAGCCATCGCTTCACTCTGACCTCTGCTTCATTGGTCACATCTCCTCTGATTCTGAGCCCCCTGCTTCCCTTTTAAAAGAATCCCTGTGACTATATTAGGTCCAGCAGAATAGTTCAGGATGATCTCCCCATCTCAAGATCCTTAACTTCATCATGTCTGCAAAGTCCCTTTTGCCATGTAAGAAAACAACATATTTGCGGGTTCTGGGGATTAATTAGCATGTGAACCTCTTTGTTCTTATTTGCTCATTTGTTTGTTTTGATGCTGGCGGCTCATCGTTTATTTTCCCCTTGGTGCACAGTGCTGGTTATGGGGTGTCTGGAAGGCTCCATGTGGCTTGGGCAGTAAAGAGCAGGGCTCTCTCAACTCTTTTGGGGGTTCGCTGTTTGGGTATAAAAGAACTCTGCTGCTGCTTGCTGCAGCCTGCCTAGGGGTGGGGTGAGGAGGGAGAAAGGGAGTAGAGGAGGAGGGGCGGGGGAAGGGCCTCAAAAGGGCCTAGGACTGGTGGTGGCCACTCAGGATGGGGGCGTTGGCTTCACTGGGCTGGCCACCAAGCTGCTTCCTTGTGGCTTCCCGGGCCAGGTCACAGGTGATCATGATGCTGGAGGCCTGGGGAGATTCTGACACAGCGACCACGAACGGGACAGTGGACTTCCCCCAAAGGAAGCTCGTCCACCAGTGAGCTGGGTGGGCCTTGGGGAGACCAGGGTGGTAGGGGGTGGCTTCCCCAAGGCACTCGGCACCTCTGCAGGAGCTGTTCCTGGAAGTGGAGCCCAGGCAGTGCACAGGTGGTAGTTGTGGGCGGCCCAAGCCAGGCTGCTGGAGGGGATGGCTGCCGTGTTCTTGCTGCGGACCAGTGTAAACCTCGGTGGTGACCCCTTGCGGGCCTTGGCATGCGATCAGGGGTGGCAGGAAGGGGGGTGCTAGGCCACGGAGCCCAAAAGCAGAGGAGACCGCAGCAGGCCGTAAGATGTGAACATCTTTGGGAGGCCATTATTCTACCGCATGGGATTCCCAGCATAGCGATTAAGAGCAAGAGTTCACCTCAGTTCAAATCCTGGCTCCACCACTTGCTGGAAGATGCAAATACATAGCTTCTCTAAGTTTTAGCCTCACATGAAAAACTGGAATAACAGAATATTCCTTCTAAGGCTATTGTGAGGATTAAATAACACAATGTATGTAGAGCATGTGAAACATGGGGCTCAGTATACGGTTAACTGTCATCTTCCCCACTGCTTATCATGGTAATGGGTAATAGAAATTCCACCATTCAAGATTTATTTCTTTGGCTCTTTTCCCAAGTATATATTTCAGGCCCTTGTCAGCTGACCCTTAGCAGGATAAATTGGCAGTGAAATTAAGTCAGGTTCCTCAGTGGGACATAGAGAACCTGGGAAGATGCAGACAGACTAACCAGGTAGGGGGAGAGGGCACCGAAGGGTAGACTAACCAGGTAGAGGGAGAGGGCACCGAAGGGTAGAATGACAAATAGAAACATGTCCCCTCCCCCAGCTTCTCAGTTTTGCCTGTGGCTCAGCTTTGCCTGAGCACCTCTCTGGCCTCTCCCCAGATTAGCCCGGGTAAGCCAGCCTAAAAGGAACACTCTGAAGATGGTTTTCTCAGATAGACGGGACCTGCCCGGTTGGGTTTGCAGCAAAGCGGGGCAAACCTGGCATCAGATCCTGGCGTGGAAAAGTACTGGGGTTCTCTGCCTACAGGCAGGAGCTGGAGCAACTGTCTGAAGAGATCATCCCAGTGCAGGCCTCTCTGACGTTGGTCTTGCAGAGTGAAGTGAAAACCAGATTCCAGTTCTATCTGAGAGCTACGTGACTGTTTCCCATCACTCTTTTGGAGCCTGGAAGGTTCCCAAGTTCATCGTCTAAATTTCGTGATGTATATACACGGACCTCAGCCAGGAGCGTGTTATCACAGGTACCTGCTTACGTGAAGGGCTCTCCCCAGTCACTCAAACAGTGTTATTATTTGGAGTCTTCATTCATTCAGCACTTCTGTATTAAGCACCTGCAGGGAGCCAGACAAAGTAACAAGGGACCCAGGAATCCCTGTCCTCAAGGAGAGCAGGAGCCAGACTTGTAAAGAATTACATCACTGTGAGGAGAATGGAACACAGGCGACTTCCTGACTGGCAGAGAGAAAGCAGGGGAACCGTGTCCCAGGGTAGGGAGCATGTGCAGACCAACAAGAAAGTATTCCAGAGCAGGGACAGCACCGCTTCTAGAGCCGACCCTTGGGGGCCTGACTCCTGATACTTCCCTGCTGTGTGACCTCGGGCAAATGACCTCGCTTCCTTAAGCCTCTGCCTTGTGCTCTGTGAAGTGGATGTAAGCAACAGTCATCTCATGGGTTGTTGTAAGGATTAAATGACACAGCACAAGGGAAGTGGGGCCAAATGTCTCCCCCCCACACTCAATTCACAAGACAGTCCCCAGATTTGCCTTTTCCTGAACATCAGGGTCCTGCTGGCTTGCTATGGAAAAAAAAATACCCACCAGCGATAACTCTGGAGGTGTCCATACACACATGGAAATTATGTGTACCCATAAATTCAGCAGCGTGGAAGTGAACTCGATTGCAATTCCACCAGCCTGTCTAATTTCTGTCCTGGACTCGGTAGATTCCCAGTAGGAGGCGACTTCTGTCCTCAGCTCCATTCTCTGACACCCAGCCAGCTGCCTATTGGCTTTTCTAAGGGTTTGAACTTCAAAGAACTGGACACTCAGCAAAGAAGGGGACCGTGGCCTGACCTCTCGGAATTCAAACAGTCTGAGGTTGAGAGAGGAAGGCGAGCTCTTTTCTCTCTCTCTTTGGAACCTAGGCTTTCGGTGTTTTGGCTGAGACCAACCCACTCGGTTTGGACGCCAGACCGGCACCGTTCCAGAGCAAACCTCCAGGTAGGGGCCAGAGGCAGAGCTGCAGGTAAAAGGCGCCCTCGTAGAGCTCAGGTTCACGCTCCCAGGAGCCAGGCCTCCGGCAGCAGCGCGGAGGCTTCGAGCAGAGGCGAGGTATGCGCCCGCCGCCGGGGAGGCAGGAGGACAGCGATCCGTACTTCGTTGGGAAAGTTCTCTGCAAAGTTGGGAATGGGCCCCCAGGAGAGGAGACTCCGGAGCCCGAGCGCCTCAATGCCGTTGGCGGAGTACCGGCACCCGAATTGGGCTCCACCCTGGCGGAGGCCGGGGCGTGCACCCGCAGGGCGTTCAGGGCGCCCGGGAGGGGGTGGGGAGCCGGGCCCCGGGCAGGAGCTGACTCGCTTCCCAAACCTCCGCCCATCAGTCACCTCGCAGGGCACAACCCTGGGCGGTGCAGGCGGGCCCCAGCGTCCCGAACCTCCCTCCCGCCCCACGAGGGTGAGAGACTGGCAGCTACCTCCCCAGGAAGAGCCAGGAAAGGGCCGGCGCACCGGGCCGCCAGGTGAGTGCCGGGTCAGGTAAAGGCGCGGCGGCTGGGTCCGCGGGGCTGTGACTTAGCGCTCGCGCTTCGGGGAAAGCGAAGGGCGGGGATGTCTTCCAGCTCTACTTAACCCATCAATACCCGGACTCCCGGCCCAAGACGTCCCCTCACCCCTTTTTCAACATGCCCTGGAGCCTGTTCCCTCTCCGCACCTCGGCTTAGCCAACTCGCTGTGGCTGGGTTGGGGAAGGACTTGGGCCCAGCGTTCTTCCACTTCCACCCCAGCACTCCGCCGGCGGACGCAAGGGAGTGGGTGCCCGCCCGGCACGGCTTGGGTGCGCGCCTTGGACCTCGGGGTGGCGCGGTGGGCAGGGAGGGAGGGTCGACTGGTGGGCGGCGCCTCTCCGGGCTGGAGGCCTTTCGTCGGCGGCACCGCCCTCCGCCTCTCGGCGCTCCGAGGCCGCGCTTCCTGCGTCCCCATCTCGGTCCCCGAGAGGGAGGTGCGCCCTGTCCGCCACCTCCTCCCTCGGCCGAGACTCCCCGGAGCCCCCAGCCCCGGGATCCCAGCGCCCCCGAGGAGGCAGCCGAGGGGCCAGGGTCTGGAGCCCCCAGCCCCCCGCCCCTCCCCGGTCCCCAGCGCCTGACGGAGACCGAGCTGGACCCGCCGCCCGGGTGAGTCTGCGTCGCCGCGCCTCGGGGAGTGACTGTAGGTTCCCCGGGGGAGAGAGTCAGGGTCTGTCTCGGTCTGTCTGTCCGTCCGTCCGTCCGTCCGTCCGTCCGAGAGCTTTCTGCCCCGGGTCTGGCGCCGGAAGGACTTCGTACTAGCATCCACTGGGGCAGCGCCCTTCCAGTGAGGGTCACCCCTGCCTCCAGGGCACCGTGCTGGGGCCAGCTGGTCTCGGCCAGGGGGAGGCAGCCGGCCTCCGGGGCCCCCTGTTGGCGGGGACAGGTGCCATCCGCCTGGCGGGTTTTGAACCGTTGGCCTCGGCAAAGAGGCACCTTCTGCCGGTGCTTAGAGCAGAATTTCCCAGTGGGTCCCTGGAAACCACCTTGGTGCTGCCCGCAAGATCCCCCCTCTCCCATCCCTTACTGCTTTCTGGAAATCGAGGCTTTTTGTCGCGCGAGTGTGTGTGTGTGTTACATACTAGAAGCAAAAGGGTGAGGGAGAGGGTGTGAGCAAAGTGGGGTGGAACTCAGTTTCTTCACAGTAAAATGCTGTAAAATACGATTGCTAACCAGCTGGAGGTGAGGTGGGCACTCATGCCTAGCACAGAACAAAGCCTGAGAACCCAAATCCGATCTATAGTCTGCGCCCTGAAGGGAAGCTTGTGGCCCGGGTGTGCCAAGTCTGGTAAGAAGGATGGTCACTTTCAGAAAGAAATCTTTCCTAACCAAGGGACGAGGGAACAGGAAACCTGGAAGTGCATAGGTTTTCCTACCCCTGCCCGGGCACTCCCTGGCCGGAAACTGCCTTGGGGCACCTCTGCAGCGCACGGAAGGGCCTGCGTGACTCAGGTCAGGTCCTCCTAGCTGCGCAGGTGGTCCCGGCGCTGGCAACCCTGGCGGAGCAGGAGCGGGGTGGGCGGGGCCGGAGGCTAGTGGGCGGGGCCGGAGCCGGCCGAGGCTGGCTGCCGGAGGGCGGTCGTCTTCGAGGATGGCTTCTGGCTTTCTCTTTTACAAAGCTTCCCTAGTGATAGGTCGGCTCTGGAACCTGTGAACAGCTTTTACCCTTGGGAGACTTACCGCATAGGATCTCAACCTACGTCGATAGGGCCAAATGGAATTGGAAGGGAGCCCGTTTCCCTCCAGAGATCTCTCTACCACTTGCCAGGCCTGTGCGCAGATTGGGAGAAAAAGAGAGAAAAGAGAGGAAGGGGAGGAGGCTGGAGGTGCATCCGTGCCTCACCACGTCCTGAGCTGACAGCGGTGCCATGATTACGTCCTCCTGGCATCTCGCAGGGCCAGCCCTGCCCCAGGGATACAGAGCGACGGGCCTCCGAGAGTTCCCAGCCTAGTGAGTAGTAAATGACAAGTGTCCCAGAGAGGAGGCGATAGAGTCAGGCCCCACCACGCCCAGGAGTTTCTCCGTGACCCGCAGTGGGCAGTCCTTTGCCTCTCTGAGCCTTGGTTTCTTCATCTGTAAAATGGGAATGGGACACTCATGCCTAGCACACGGCAAGGACTCTGGGAAGTTATGTTACAGGGCTTAGGGGAGAACAGAAGAAAGAAAATATCCCAGGCCGAAGCGTGGCGAGAAGACCTGCTGAAGCCCTGACTGGTGTGGCTCAGTGGGTTGGTCATCAGTCTGCAAACTGTAAGGTCGCCAGTTCGATTCCCAGTCAGGGCACACGCCTGGGTTACAGGCCAGGTCACCGGCTGGAGACACATGGGAGGTAACCGGTTGATTGATGTTTCTCTCTCACATGGATGTTTCTGTCCTTTTTCTCCCTGCCTTCCCTTCTCTCTATAAATAAATAAATAAGATCTATTTTTTTAAAAAATCCTGCTAAGACAATGTTGGACTACTCAGCAGTGAGTTGGAGTCATCCAGGGTGACAGGGCAAGGGTGTCTGGGCAGGTGGGACAGCATAAGCAAAGGCCTGGAGGTGTGAAGGTTATGGGGGTGCTGGGCAGAGGCACTCAGGGAGTGACGGATGGGGAAGGAAGGGGAGTGGACGGTCTGGGGTGAGCTGGGCTGGACAGACGAAGGCAGGTCACTGCAGGTGGGACTTTACCGTGCAGATATCATGGAACCATTCAACACCTGTTGATTGAGTGCCTTCTGTACACCAGGCAGTGTTCTGGGTGCTCTGTGAACACTGAACAAGGAAGATACAAATTCCATTCAAGCTCTTTAAGCAGGGGAGTCATTTGACCCTATTGATATGTTAGGAAGGTAATTCCGGCTTCACGTTCGATGGAAGTTTGGAGACGGCTGCCCCCAGGGTGGAGGCAGTGGGAATGACAAGGGGGGGCGGGGGCTGGGATCGAAGCACCATGCAGGAGGCAGAAATTAACATGTGGTCTTAACATGTGACCGCTGGTCAAGGGTAAGATTTGCGTGCTGGGCGTGAGGCCCAAACTACCAGCCTGTCTTCTACCGGGGAGGGCGGTGAGCGCCTGGCACCCGGGCAGGGCTCCAGCCCGCGAGCCGTGGCTTTCTGGCTCTGACGTCACACAATCCAGGAGTTCCCTGTCTAGGTGAGGAAAGGCAGAGCTGGAGGCAGGCCTGGTGGCAGCGCCAGCGGCCTGTCTCCTGGTGGCATTTGCTCTGGGCAGCCTGCTCTGTTGGGGGTCCCTGTCTCACTGGGTCATGGTTCTGGTAAATGTTCTTCCCACTCTCTGTGGGGCTGACAGTAACCCCTCCAAACTCTCGGGCTGGAAGAGGCTGGAGCATGAGGAGCTTTGGCTCTGGGCGTCTCATTCCCCTGCTGCAAATGAGGGAAGAATTTGAGGGACTGAGAAAAGTTTTCCCCCCAAGTGCCTGGAATGTTCCAGAAATTCAGTGGCCTTCTGATGCGGGGGGAGGGATGACATGATGAAGGGTCTGCTCTGGCCACTGGCTTTTGCTTTCACTTTCAGTGAGTCTGGTCTGAAGCTTGGAGGAGTCCTTGCAGTCTACAGCTGTAAGAGCGTACATCTTCATGTTATACGTCTCCCTTTGCTTGGTGATGGACCGCACATGGCCTTTCACCTGCCACAGGAGGACCCTGGGATGTCTTGGGTGGAGGGGACCATTCTCATTTGACACAGGAAACTCAGAGAGGGAAAGAAACTTGCCCAAGACACACAGTACCTGGCCGGACCGGCACCCAGCCTTCCTGGCCCCTCTTGGGTCCCCTGCATTATCCCAGGAGGCCTGGCGGCATTGCAGTCAGAGACTTGTTTAGGGCTCCAGTTTAGTTTAGGTGGTTCTCAACATCTCAGTCTTGCCGGCCCCTTCATAGAGTCTTGCTCCTCCCCAGCCTGGACAGGTGGCCTGGCTTCGCCTGGCAATGTTTTCTTCCTCTCATCTCCTGGGTTGAGCCCTGGGCACACTGACCACCCCTCCTGGAAGCTCTGGCTCCCCAAAGAAACTGGTCACTTGTTTGGTTTTGCCTGCCTCAAGCCAGACTGCCCTGCCTCTCCCAGGACAGCCCCACGACGCAGGCCAGACGTGGCTCTCTGAGGGTCTCAACGGAGGCCTCAGGCTGACTCCCTGTTCCGCCCTCCCCTGGGCTCCAACTGCTGCTGGGTTGGCCCTGCCTCCTGTGCAGTGTTGTTTACTTGGTCGGAGCAGCCAAAAGTCTCCTTATTCTCTCTTGCCCCAGATTTGTCTGAATGAGCAGCTCTTAAACCCGCATGCTGGTCCCTTTAGCTCTTAGCGAGTGGAGCCAGAAGGGACCTTCGCCATCAGGAAGAGTCCCAATCTGCTTATTCTAACAGTGGAGAAAGCGAGGCCCGGGGCTTGCCTGAGATCCAAGCCAGGGTCAGACCTCAAGTTCCCCGATGCTGTCTTGAATGATTTTGAGGATGATTCTTGGAAAAAGAAAACAAAAACCCAGAGTGTTTGCCCCCTCCAAGAGCTCCCTTCTCCCCTTAGACACCACACTGCCAGGTACCTCGGAGGTACCCACAGTGACGTGCTGGGAAGGAGTAAATGCTGAGGCCCCTGGAAGAAAAGGAGTGCATGTCAAAGACTATATATCGTGGCATGTTCAGTTTCCGTCCGTTCCAGCCGGTACTAACGCCAGGACGTAAGCTGCTGATCAAACCTACGTGCCGCTCTCTAACCCTACTGTACGCCGTGCCTCTGATGGGCAGGCTTGTAAAGCCATTTGCGCCCCCAGGTTACAGAAGATGTTCACGTTCATTGTAGAAAACCCGGGAGGAAACCATCACAATGTGCTGGCAGCCACTATTGATTTGCGGGGTTTTATTTAGGGTTTTTGTTTGCTTGCTCTGCTATTTCATACCCTGGTTTTTCAGTGCATCACCGTAACATGTATTTTCCCTGGGTGACAGTTTTTCACACCGGATCTAGCCCACCGGTCTCACCTGTTTCTCCCATCTGACGGCTGGAAGGTATTCAGGAGGCCAGCTTTCTGGGTTGGCTCCCTCAGAACACTCCCATAGCCAAAATCCTGTACAGCTATGCAAATTATTCACCACTGTGGGATTTAGGAGGCCACAGGTTCTGGGAAAAGGGCTATGTTTGTAAAATCTAAAGCAAAACCGATTCTTAGCGAGCCTTTAGAATCAGACGAGGTCAGCCACTGGGGTAGAATGAGTGCGACCGAAGATGATGCAGCTGAAAGGAGAACGCTTTGCTTCTTCTGGGTTTTCGCTGTTGGTTTTAACCCAGCCAAGCGTTCCCACCCAGCTGTCTTCAGCCCTTGCCTCACATCAGCCCAGGATCAGGCATCAGGGTGGCAAGTGTGGATCACGAGAAAAATCGCTGTGTGACTTGCTCATCTGCAAACCCTGCCTCGTAGAGAACAGGTGTTTCCGTGGCAAAGATGTGCAGAGAATTTGTTACCTACTCAGATGATGAGGTCGGTCACCTCGCCTCGGGGACAGGATCTCCTGCATCTCTCATCCCCTAATGAGATCCCAGCTTTGTTAATGCCACGTCAATCGTCATCACTAGAAGCAGTCTTGGAGATTCCCTACGCTACTGTACAGACTGTTGG